TCTCTCTCTCGCACACAAAAGTATTTGAAGTGAGAAAAAAAAAAAAAAAAAAGGATTGATAGATCGAGTAGAATATGCATGCTGTCCTACCAAAATGCCAATCTTTATTGCCAAAGTAGTATCTCGAGATTGTGTAGAATGCTTTATAATTAAGGATCCTCTTTTTCTACCACCGACCAAGTTGTGAGTATTTTTTATGATGCTTTTATAGGAATATGGTCAGGAAGTTACCTTCCGAGAAATATGAGAAAGCTGAGACCTCATGAGCATTTGGAGTTTCTTCAAAAAAAAATTGTACATAAGTGACAAGTAGGAGATGGCTTTCAATGGGTGATTTCTATACATACATACCTTGGTGGTCGGGGGGAAAATGTTTCCACTTCGAGGCCCACTCAGTCAGGGTATTGTATTCATTCTGGTAGTGTTTTTTGGCCTTTCCTTGGTATTTGTGTGAGAGTGAGAGGGACACTACTAGTATGTGAATAGATTTGTAAATTCTAAAAGATGGTTCAAGTGGTAATAAGAATGAATTATAACATCAGACGTCTTGAATTTGAATTTGGACAACCTCTTGAATTTGAATTTGTACACGTAACTGCTATGCCACTAAATGTTTGTAGTTTTCTGTACTTCTAGTTACTTGTAATTGTCGTTTTAAGAATTGATTAATGGGAAAGGAGTGAAGGCCCCAAACAACAATACAATAGAAAGAAAGCTTCATTTTAGTACTCTCTCTCTCTCCCTCTTTTCTTCACTTTCATTTGATGTTGAATGAATATATGTTTCCAGGTAAGATTTGACCGCGACCCCGGCCCCGGCCCCATACAATAATACAATAGAAAGAAAGAAAGCTTCATTTTAGTACTCTCTCTCTCTCCCTCTTTTTTTAAGCTACTACGTACACTGCAACGATGAATAGTTGTGGAGATTTCTGGGTTTGTCATAGTGCAAAAAAATACAAAAACATGAACAAGAGTCATGTTTACTGATAATTATTTCAAAATAGATAAAGAAATGATGATGAAACTTTAAGAATAAGACAGCACTATAGGAGGAAAATGACACAACTCAAATGCGCTTGTCGATTGAGTGATAATTATGAAAATTATATATTAGCTAGAGGCATTTTTTTCAAATGTACAATAGGTAGGATGTACATGCACATACGTTACTTAAGCCATAAATAATTTTTTTTTTGTCTTTTTTGTAAAATGTTAATCAAACATATTTTTGTTCATTTGGCGAAATAACTTATTGATTCAACTAAAAATAGTTAAAAAAATGTTGGTGAAGTGGGTTAAACACAAAAATTTTCAGCTCATTCACCCTTTCTAGCTTCATCTTCAAGTAAAATGTCTGGATGAGCTTGGCTCCGGATGATATTACTTAGTGGTGTCCTTTTCTTTTGTACTGTACTGTTTCTTTTCTTTTCATTTTTGACCAACTTGCTTTCCACCATTTTCACTTGCTTTACAAAAATAAGCTATAACGATGCTTTTGGGGTTGATGATGATAGATAGACCATGCAAGGGAGGTGAAAAAGTGGCCATTATATTAATATTATTTCCTCAAACTAATAATAATTCTCAGGCCACTTACTTTTCTTACGCGTTAAGCCCAACAATAATAACATAATAATTTCAGAAATGAATGAGACAATCAACCCCGCGGGGTTGGTCCAGCCCGGAGATCGTGATCCTCCTATTCCCATACAGTGCTACATACATTTAAGTTGGTTGTTTTAGTTGGCCCACCTACTACTTGGCCCTCAAAACTGTAGCCCAATTAACAGCAGTAAATTAGAGGCGTAATTCGGACGGGTTGAGAGGTCAACTCCAAGTATATAATCTTTAATCATAATTCTAATCTTAACCCTACCTCAATTCGTGGTACTCAACCCGAGTATTGTCTGAGTTTAATTTGGACGGACTCGGGTTGAATTTGGGTTACTTAATTCGGGTTAAAAATCGGGTTGAACTTGAGTTACTTAATTTAGGTCGATTTTTTGAAATGTAGATTTAATTTTTTTAAATGTAGATATGATTTTTTTACGTGATCTGAGATGAGGGATGAGACACAGATGAAGAGAGATGTAGTGAGAGAAGGAGGAGTGACGAGTGAGAGAAGGAAGCTGAGAGTTTGAGACAACTCAAATGAGTGATGATTGAAAGAGGGAGGAGTGACGAGTGAGAAACGGATCTAAGAGTGATAGAGACACAGGGGTGAAGAGTTGAAGTAAAATGAAAGTTTGGACACTAAAGAATAAAAATAAATACTAACTCTAGTAAAATATATTTATACTAATTATTGTATGTACCTGAAGGCACAGAGTAATAAAAAATAGTAAACAATAAACATATTTGTATTTATATCAAAAATCATATCACAAACATATATAAGAGATAAATAAATTTAAGTATCGATTGTAATGGGGGTGAGAGGTGGTGGGCAGCAGTGGTGGTGGTAGGAGACGATGATGGTTATAGTGGGTGGCAATAACCATGGTGGTGGTAGGAAACGGTGATGGTTATGGTGAGTGACAATGACCGTGGTGGCAATGGCGGTGGTAATGGTAGTGGCGGCGGCGACGATGGTGGTAGTGGTGGCAGCTACAGCGGCAACAGTGGTGGTGGCGACAGTGGCGGTGGTGGTGGTGGTGGAGATGGCGGTGATAGAGGTAGTGGTAGGACGGTTTCAAACACTATTTTTTAAAAAATATTTATGAGAAATAATTTTTAAAATTACAAAGTCATTCCAAACATACGTTTAGAGACCTATTTTTCCAATTAAATTTAAGGTGTTAATATTAACCGTTAGATTAATTTTAAAATAAAATTAAAACGATTTTAACCGTGAATAACAAAAGTTATTTTGTTTATCTTTTGAGATTTAAATTGTAAGTTACTTTATTATATAGATATTTATGTATATTCGGGTTAAATCCGACAACTCGTGGCCTCAGTGCGGGGCTTGCCCAAATTCAATTTTGGTTGAAATTTTTTTGTCCAGACTCAACCCAAATATTAAAAATTTTAACCCAAGCCCTTTTTTTTTCGATTGGGTTCAAGTTGAATTCGGGTTGACCCGCCCAAGTTACACCCTTATGGTAAATGTTATACGTCCCTCAAAAGTTAAAAGCTTACCCCACCCCCCTCCTATTTTGCCATTTTCATCTTATCAACTTTTTTCAGTATTTTTTATTTTTTGCAATTTTATTTCTTGAATAGCTTGCTTTGCCTTTGTCCAGGTTTATCCTTTACTACAAATTTAATCACATATTATAAATATGCACCTATATAAGTACAAATATGATTTCTCTTAGTGTGAAAACATTATTGTTCTTAAAAGAGCCTATAGAATTAATCCCAATGAATAATTTAAGTGGTAATAGAAACCAATTTTAAATTCAAATGTTCTGAATTCAAATTTTGACAATTCTTTGAAATCAGACCATGAGATATCTATCTCTTATGAATATTCTAATTTCGACGTGGATGATCAGTAAATAAAAAAATACATAATTCTCCAGATGAAACATAGGCTTTAGGATAGAAATATTAACAAACCCAACAACAAAAAGAAACCTAAAAAATCACACCCTATTTATAGGCAGGTTTCCTTCTCATCTAGCAATGGGCACAACAGCGTACAGCCCAATCAAACCCTGGGCAAATTGGCTACAAGAAAGCCCAAAAACATCGAATACCAAATACTTTGGGAACTTTACCATGGTTTTTTAATTGGGAACTTTAACATCATGTATAGGGATGATAAAAACAGAAATTCTATTGACAATTCTTCCATAGAAAAGTGCTTCAAAGCTCGCAAAGAGTGGTAACTATAGTGTAAACTCAACTGTAAAACAGAATGGATGGCAAACAATTTAGGCACAGTGGGATGAAGGGCATGAGAACTGGTCTGAAAAACTAATAGCGGGATTAGAAGTGAATTGCAAAAATAGTACAACAATAGTAATAATAATATTCAAATATCTACCCTACCTTTAGGAGACGATTACGCAAACAACAGGGACGATGAGCGTGTACAAAAGAGACTTGTCTGGCTCCGGCAATAATGTGTTCCGCCACGAGATTGACCTATGCCCGATGGTCTGGAGTCACAAGGCCGCCATTGGTGTCTCTCCCTCTCAACAATGCACTTCCTCTTTCTTTATATATACACCGTATATGGGTATATACCTGCAACTTATACACAGACTACAAGAGGAGAGAAGTGGAAGAAGAACAACGGATGTGAAGCATGCAAAGGGAAGAGCAAAAGTAACCATTCTTAAATCATACAGAATTGCTTATCTTTCCTTTACTTTTTTAGGAGAAGAAAAGAAACAGTATATAGGGGGCTATAGCCGAAAACTAAGCACATTTAAGACAGACAGGACAACCTTTGCTATTTAAAAACTTGAAATTTGCATTCACAAGTAAATTTTTCTCTGGAAACCTCAAATCTATATCAATTATCACTATGTAAACCTTCCTTCCTAATAAACCAAAAATAAAGGAAGAAACACAGTTCAGGCTAGCCCTCTTTGTCTTTTGACTAATGGCAAGAACATCTTAAATTATACTAAACGAATTTAACATTTTAACCTTTTAAAGACAAAAAAAAAAAAAAAAAAAGAAAGGAAAGTAAAATGAAAGGAAAATCAGCCTCTACACAGGCCTTTTCTATGATATATTCATCTCCGAGCCTTGGCTCGATGCAAGAATCACAAAACAGAAATAATGCCTTCAGAACAAAATCCTAGTGCCTCCTGTACACATCTCTCCAATATATTTTTGGTGCAGTTTATCTTGCCTCAAAGCTCCATCTAAGTTACAGAAACTGGTAACTCTGCTGCTCATCGGGCAAGACCTTTATGTACAAGGTTTCTTCAGTTGTCATTGCTGCTTCTGCAATCATCTTGCCATAGAAGCATACAGGCAAAATGGAAACCAAAGGACTAAAATAATTTGATAACATGGATGGCGAATGCTCACCATTTAGTCTGAGAACATCTCTTCCAATTCCGGCTGCTCAGATTTAAGCAGAAGAGAATCAGAATCCGTTCTATTAGGCAACCCTTTAGCTCGCACTCCATTTTCATTCTCCAAATAATCTGTATCAAACAAGTCTTGACCATCCTCAGTTAACTGCTCATCGATCACTTCACCAATATCCTTTCTTGTATTATTTTCAGTACGAGTTTTAGAGCCAATGGTAGCCCAACTTTGATAACTTAATTCTCCCTTACCAAAGGCCTCTGAATTTTCACATATGCAGGCTGATGGGTTTTCATGAAACTCACCCCTTCCTGGTCTTACCTCATTTGGCTCTCCCATGAAACCAATCTGCGAGGTGCGAACTCTCGAGGCAAATTCTTCCCAGGTCATCTTATCTCGATTCATGAACAAACCATAAAGTTTTTTAGCATTTGGACGGATAGTTGGTTTGTGCCCAAAATATCTCCTGCAGTGAGTAAACATGTAAAAGTCATCATGGTTTAATTGCTATGCCTGTGTCCTGTGCATATGGCATAACTAAATCTATTGCCTACTTGCAACATCTCCGATCTCTTAATAGAAAATGAAAACAGCATCATATAAGCTAGATAGTAACTAGGATCAAATACTAACAGCCCCAAGTAGTTCTTCCAGGGGCTGGTGGTACTGTTTGTTTTTGTAAAAATCACTTTGAAGCATTCACTCAAATTGAAGTTGTAAACTCAAAATTCTGAGGCAGATATTGCTTCCAAAGTCCAAACAAAGACCTACATTTACAATAACATACCTTCTTCCTGCTAACATCCTAGCCATGTTGCCGTTGTTGTTGGTGACAAAAACATCACTCTCATCACACACAATGAAGTCTAGTGCAGCCATACGAGCGGAAAAGGATGAAAATGGCGCCAACTCTTCCTTCCTGGCAATTGTATCCTTTGAATGAAAGTTTGGGAAGAGAGCTTTTAGAGGTGCCAATGTCTCTTCGCCTCCATATACCTCACCAGATGCCACATAAATGTGAACATCACTGCCGAAACCCAGGGCTCTCAGCATAAGACCAACTTCCTCTGGAGTCAGTGGACACTTCCCATGCCTCCGTTCCTTGTCAGGGTTCCTTGTCTGAAAACCATTTGAAATATTCATCATAGACGTGTTTAAATTTATGCTGATATTTCTTAAAAGTAAAAGATGGACCCTCACATGTAACGTTTTCCATCTCTTCCTTATTGCACTTAGTTCTCTCCTTTCCTTCTCTCCTCCACTGTAGTAGCATCCAGAGAATGCCAGCATATCAGGTTCAAACCTGTGACATGAACCATTTGTTTGAAAGAGGAATTTCTTTCAATATATATGTCGGTGTGAAAATTTTCTCAATGCCACTGGGCTATAGTCTATACAAGCCACCTACGCACCAGCAAACACATGCAAGCAAGCAGGAATGCATCATTTTTTAATTTAAATTTTATCAAATGAGTTTGTTTAAAATTATGACAAAAATTTGAATACCTAGCATCAATCATCAAAGCATTTAATCCAACAAACAACTAGAAAAGGATTTTACAAACAGCATGGTAGAGGACAAAATTGCACTACACCTCAAGTGCAGGGCAATGAAATGCTGGCTTTTAATCCGCATCCTTTCCACCAATTTTTTCCCCATTTCACGAATGGGATTAGTGAACTTTAAAGCATGGTAGTTAACTCTACATCTCAGCTTCTGTAAATCTGTGTCTAGCCGATTTGCCAACCGGTAATCAAACTTCGTAAGCTGAACAGCCTGCATCATGAAAAAGATGAAGACTTCTAGGATCAACTCTAAAGTAACATGAAAATCATAAGCTCTTTTGAAGCCAATAAAAGGAGCACTCACATAAACAACATTGTTAAATCACTATCCTGTTATTAATCAACGATCATAACACATTCGGCAATCATCGCAGACAAGCAAAAAAGTGACATAGTTATTGTTGACTTTTAAACTCAGGTCCATATATAAGCCGACCTCTTACATAGGCAATCACCTCCACAAACAAAAAGTTTCAAATACTATTCAAGTATCAGCGAGGGATCCATCAATCCAGTTCGATGTCCAAATGCTATGTAAACTCAAAGCATTAATCTTGATAAAATACTGATCCAGCAGGGTCCTCAATGAAAATGAAGACTGCAACTCTTAACTGAACACTTACATGCTTTTTATTAAGAACAGGCAAGATACGAGTCAGATAGCATTTTGGAGTGCACTTCCTTGGAACACGCGTAGTATACGGAGTAAAAACTTTCGCTCCCTTTGTTGGAAGCTCCTTAATGATTTCAACATCTTTTGAGAGATATGATATAAACCAGTCAACATCAAAGATTTCAGAGAAGTTGCTGCAGAAAACATTGCATCACTCATAAATGCACGGAATTTAGAAATTTCAGAAGAGCAATCCAATCCTGAAATCTGCAAGTTGGGTGCAACAAAAAGAAACGTACCTGGTATCCTTCCAAAAGGATTTCTGGTCCAGCTTAGGAACAACAAGGGTGGCATTCAGTATATGGGCAGCAACAACAGCATCTGTTATCTGCAACATAGTACAATTTTCTCACAGATTAAAGGGAAACACTCTCTCTGAATATTTTCATGTTTTTTACACAAACTTAATTATCAAATAGCACAAAAGTTTGAGACTAACATTAGGGCATAATCATGAATTGTTGGGCATGAAAACGATGGTAGTCGAACTAAGATTTTAGTCAGTATAGATATAATCAAGCAAACTCAAGATTAGCAGTAAATTAGGGATTGGAGAAATAATACATAAACAAAGATAAATAACTTGGAAACATATCAATCATTTTGAAATTCCTTATATCACTGATTAAATACAATTTGTTGAAGACAGTCACATGCATCTCTGTGCAATAAATATGGCCAAATAATATTTAAATGCAATGCATAAATCGGCTTGCTGATGTGGATCCAATACTCATTCAGATTCCAACACAACCATATGTCACCTTTTGTTGTGGTGAAAACCGTGTGTAAACTTGAACTGCACAAATGAATCCTAGACTAAAAGATAATCAACTTTTTAAACTTGAACTGTACAAATTGCCATCTTTGTATTAGTGGGTGGCCGAAGAGAGTTACCCCTGTTCTTTGTTGATTTAAGCCTCCACTTGTTGCAATCATCAAGTATCTGTTGAGATGCGTGCTGAATTCACCAGCTGGAACAAAAGATTTAATAATTTTCATCAGAAAATAGACTAAACAAAAAAAAAAAAATCAACACACAGCGGTAAAACATCATGCGAAACAGAGTTTTGTACAAGGAAAATGCAATAGCAATAAGAACATACAACTCAAAAAGAAAACAGCATTGTTTGAGCACAATCCTGCCCATTTCGACCTTTGATCCCTATCTTAAAATTTGAAGAGAACAACACCTGTGTGCAGAGAGAGAGAGAGAGAGAGAGAGAGAGGACTTTACCTGGAAACTTATCACTGGCATTACTGCACCCGTAATAGAAGTTTGATCGCCTAGAGCTCCATAGGTCGCGCCATAAACTCCCCCCACTCGCCTGAGAATTCAAAGACCAAAAAAAAATCAAAACACAGATTCAAAAAAAAAAAAACACCAATCCAAGAGCGAAACAAAAAATAATAATAATTCAACTTGATCAAATTAAGAAACAATCTGCAACGCTTACAGGAACGCGGAACAATGCGTCGTTTTCCGCAACCGATTTGACCTCGACTCCATCGGCATCAAGCTGTAAGACCAAAAAGACCAAGTCAAAGGATATATACATATGCAAAATTAAATTCTGTACAAGAATAAGAAATGCTAAATGAGATAAAAAGAAAAAAGAAAGAATACCAAGGAACGGCTACGGTTGGGGTGGTGACGACGGTGCGTATGGGTGATCGGAGGAGAGAGAAAGGAAAGGACAGCAAAAAGAAAGAGAAGTCCGCCAGCGAGTGCAGAGAGGAGCGGCAGGAGATGGTGGAGGCGACGGCGGCGTCGAGTTGAAAGCACGCCATGTAGGATTTGAACTCCGAGAAAGACGGTGTTATCTCGTAGTTTTCGTTTCTTCATAGTGGTGGTTGTAGGAAGGAGAAAGAGCTACCGCCGTCGATATTCTGAGCCTGTTGTTGTAGAAAGAGAAAGAAGAGGAAGCAGCAGCGGCATGAACAAACAAAAAAGACTCTTTCCTATGCAAAGCACTACAAGTACAACTACAGGTACATTGACATTGTCATATTTTCTGTTTCATAATATAGCTCGTAGCTAGGTTCGTCCAGTATTTGTTCTCCCCCACATAGAGACAACTATGTTTCACCTAAAAACACTAGAAAATCGAAACTAAAGACCCTTTCCTTCTAATCCTGGCCTCGAACGACCCGCGCTTAAAAATCTTAATGTGGATTTGCTTCTATCTATTTTACTCGCACTTGTAATCTGACTCTCAAAAAACGTTGGATCTCGACACGTGTCCAAACAAACATTGATACAAATACCAATACAATTCCCATTTTCCCACCCCTTAATCCAAACAAAATGGCCATTTAAGAGTACAAATTAATTGAGCTACTATTTATGTATGTATGTTTTGGTGAGCAATTTTAGTGGGACGAATTAATTTATTGATTTAATTCATTATAATTTTTGTATTAATTGTGAATCCTATTAAACAATAAAATTTGATGTTGATTCAATAATTTCATTGAAATCACGTCATTAAATCATCAAATTAGCTCAACTCAGCTCAAATTTTTATGTGTAAATAACATTATTCTAGTTTGATATCAATTTAGATGACAAAAAAAAAGTTTGATATTTCCTTAAATCATAAGAATTGTACATGAAGTTAATTTTGATATTTATTTAATAAATGAACTAAACTTGAACAATAAATTCCTTCGATTAGAACAAGATTTATAATTATTATATATAAAATTGAATGGATTTAAACTCTCCTTTTTAGCAAACCAACCGAGCCTAAATAATCTAATTTTTGGTTTGGCTCAGCTCATTTATATCTCCACCTCCTTCTAACAAAATATTACAATGAATTAGCATATCCTAATTTCTTTGAAAACAAAATAAGGTGATTAATCATACAAGAGTGCAGTTGGCTTCAAAATTATCTCCTCAACAATTTTTATGAGGCGCGTGTTTAGTGATGAAATTATGAGCGGAAGAAGGTAGAGTGTGTGAGTGTTTTAGACGCAAACACTTCTTGGTTCCCATTTCTTTCCGGCAAAATCTTTGTTAGCCCCTTCTTTCCTTGATTAGAAATTCTCATTTCACGGCCGGGTAAAAATATGATTATTTTGTATGGTTAAGCTTATAAAGACCAATTTGTCCCTGTTCCTTGCGATTAATCCGAGATCGAGGTCGGTGGTTGTTGGTTACTTGCCTTCAGAAAAAACACAAACCTTGTAGTAGCACTAGTGGTGTACATGTTATGTTTCTATCCTAAGAAAACTGAATCTCTCGCCGAATGGCTACTTTGGAGTCATAATCACGTGATTGAAAAATGTGAAAAAGCAACCTCATGTAATTTTATGTATTGTCGTTACAACCTTTGATGGTAACGCTTATAGGAATACTATATATGTGATTTCAAGTGTGTGTGCGCGCGTGTGTTTTGTTTGTCTTTATTATCGTCATTGTTTTGCTGGGTCTCTTTTCCAAATATTATCACTTAAATTCATGTTAGTGTTACTCATCTACCCAAAAATATTTTGCCTTTCAAACGAATACAATGACCGACGAAATAAGTTTAATTAAGCTGAATTAAATTAAAAAGTATTACTCCCTAAATGTGTATACCAATGCTAAAAAAGTGCCAGAACACTAGCTACCATGACCTTATTGCTATGGTATTAATCTCATGTTATTCCTAAGGTCTCAAGTCATACGAAAAGACTGACATGAGCATAGAGTATAATTCTACTAGCGTTGTAAGTTTAACAATTATGTGGCTTAAAAAAGTAAACGAATAACGAAAACAACATGACACAACCTTTTCAATAGGACTTGACGTACTCTAGATTAATGGGTACATGTAAATTGAGCCTAAAGTCAATGGAATATGTACTTTATCACACAAACACAACCCATAATTTAGGAATTGCCGATAAATCTAATTATTTGCTACAACCTATGTATATCGTATTGTTCAATCATAATAGTGGCCACCTTTTATTCCTTAGCGAACAATGTTTCGAATTATTTTGATAGTATCTTAAAACTAATTGGAGTTAAACGTAAATGATAATTCATATTTACTTTTAGATAAGATGATGAAAAATTCATCCCATAACCACCTGAGTAACCAAATTTGAAGTGTAAATAATAATTAGTTGGTGATGGTGTTTGTGTTTATGGGTTTGATAAGCTGTCGATAGGCATTTATTTGGTGATGATTAAAAACTTGGGTTGTAAGGCAACATGATTTGAAGTGCCATACAGCTAACGTTATCCTGAAATTACATGGTGAAAGATTCAAAGTATAATTAATAAATGGGGTGGGGAGGTCCAACAATTAATTAATGTCAATAGGAAAAACTGTCGTTAGGTGTTTGTGGAAAATGTCTTTGGCTGGTTGGATAATCCTTATAGGTGAACTGTTGAAACTTATCCGATTTGATGACATTTCCACATCCGAATTAAGAATTATTTATTCACATCATATATGGTGAAGAAGCAAAAGGGGGAGGGGGAAGCCATTTTTGGACCTTCAAATTCCCTTGAATGACCAAAGTGCCCTCATCTGATATTCCCCTAGTTGCATTATTTTGTTCCAGTTGGACCATATTTGTGTGTGTGTGTCTCTCTTTGTGCGTGCTTAGTAGTATCAATCATGATCGGTTGATACAAACTCAACACAGTTATAAAATTGACACGATTATTAAATACGAGTGATAAATAGTTTAAACTAATATTTGACACTCAAAACACACTAAATATATGTATATATTTTTTTTTTAAGTTTTGACACGAACACAATACGAATAACAATGACACGACACGCAAATCATACGACACAATACAAATTGACACCAGTGTGCCCACGCACAAGCAGTCCTGCTACTTATGACTCCTTGTAAACTCTTCCATGCCACACTTTTATTATTTGGAGAAATGTTGTTCTTTTTTTTTTTTAAATGAAAGGAGAGAAATTTGTTATTTAGGTTAATACAGAGCAACACAAGTCCATAATTTATGTTGCATATTTTTTTGCTGGAATACCTGTTGCCGATGCAAGCAGTTGGACTTTAACATATTCTAATAGCATTAGTCCCACCACCCACAATACCTCACACTCCCATGACCAACCAATGATAAACCCAAACCTCAATAATAATACAAGTTCTGACTTCAATGAAAAGCCTGTCCTTAACCTCCAATTTGTTTTTCCTATTTTTTTAATTTCATTGGATTCTAGATGTTCAACATTTAACAGGCAATCTGATGCAGAAAACCTGAAGGAAAAATCCGGTTCAAACAATATAAATTATAATATATGCATTATTACTACAATAATACCATATTACACCCCCTTTAAAAAGTCTTAGTTATTCTTAAGAATACCAAGATAATTAAAATTGAAAGAGAACGTTTATTTTGTTATTAAAAGTAATCAAAAGTTGTTGAGTAATTGGCTACAGCCAGCCAAGCATAAAATAGAAAACCACGCTAGTCTAAATTACTAGAAAAGCCAGCACATCATATCATATTACTAAAAATACACCTAACATAGCCAAGTATAAAATAAGAAACCATGCTAGTCTAAATTACTAGAAAAGCCAGCACATATGTCATATTACAAAAAATACACCTAACATCGAGATAAAAGTAGAAAAATGCTTCAAAAGTGGTTTGGCATAAAAAACGGTTGTGATGAAGTTGAAGTCTTCAGATTTGTTCAGATTGTCAAAGGTTTTTAAGATTCGGTTTTTTTTTTTTTGACACTTCGATTAAAATAAGTTGTGTCACTGTATGTGTGCAGCATCACTATCAAACTTACCGGGAAAGGGAAAAAATAAATCTGAATTAAAATGCTTGTCATGCTGTTCTAGTTAGATTTGAATCTGAAAATAAAGAGGTATTTTTTATTTTGTTTTCCCACACCCCCCACGTGACCATGTGAATTTGCATCAGGTATAATAAGTATGCAAGTGACTATCAATTAATGATGCCACAGTATCAAATAGTATTCATCTCAATGCCTTATTCCATGCCCGTCAATGACTATCGAGTCATGAAATTGCACCACTGTGCGTGTCAAATGAAATGAATGTTCCAAAAAAAAATAAAGTGTAGCTAGATACAGAAAATTATAGTGAGCAAAGTACGATTATTACCGATATTGAAGATCTTCGCACAAGAACAAAAAGGGTAAGGGCATCTTCAAACTTGTATCAAAAAATAAAATGGGTGATCAATAGTTCAACATCTCATTGTCTGAATTTTAAGACTTTACCATGTGCGTGCATAATTAAGTGAGAATCGACAATTCCCTTCATGTGACTGTTTTGAATAACTCCAATTTACAGAAGTTGGACATGAATCTTTCGTCTATGTTAAGATTACAGCCTACACCTACAAGAGGAGGGCCATCTACAACTATGATTATGGCTGTGGGGGGGTTGGAGCTCATCTGCGGTTAAAGTCATAGTGCTGTTAAGAGAAACGGCGCCGTTTTGGCAAAGAATCCAACAACCAGCAAAGACACAAACGACGTCGTCCAAATTGAACCCATCTTTGTCCCCTACGACGTCGTCTCTCACTTGTGGCAAACAAAATGCAAACCAGAGCCCTCCTAGTCCTTCCCTTCAAAGCAAAATCAGTCCTGCCTAAAAACATACGAAAAACTCTTTGTAGAGAGCTTGTGATCATCACCTAAAATCCCAAAGTTTCCATTACTCTTCTCTTGTTAGCTTACATTTAGGTTATATAATCACTCATAAGAAAGGTTCAGAATTTATAAATATAATCATTCATCAGAAACATTCAGAATTTATAGATATAATCACTCATGAGAAACACTCACAGAATTTATCGATATAATCACTCATGAGAAATGTTTAGGTTATATAATCACTCATTTAGATTATAGGGAGAATGATTGTTCGAAAATATACTACTCGAATTTTAAAACTTACATTGATGGTAGGCTTTCGATTTGGGGATTGATTGCTCGAAGATGATCGTGATCTACAAATTGCTCGAAAGCAGTTCTAGTTTGAGGGACGATCACAACGAAGAAGATGAAAAAGTCGACTGTTCTTGGCTGGAGAAGAGGACGAATGTAAAGTTGTCAACGTCGTAGCGTTTTCACTTCAGAAGAGGATGAAAATAGCTCTAGTTTGCATTTTGTTTGCCACAGGTGGGAGATGACGTCGTAGCCGGCTAAGATGGGCTCAATTTGGATAACGTCGTTTGTGTCTTTGCTGGCCGTTGGATTATTGGCCAAAACGACATCATTCGTCTTAACAACACTATATGCTGTTAGACTTTTGCCGCAGAGGAGCTCCACCCATGGCTGGGTAGTAGGCAGGGGGATAACACCATGGGCCCAAGTGTAGTTAGACTGGTCCAATCCTAACGCAAGCCAAATGTTTTAGCCTTTGGGTAAAGACAGTTGCATATACTCCATGTTGGATTACTCCCCCAAGTTTTGTTTTGTGTTACGTTTTTATAATGAAAAATCTCTTTAAGATAGAATTGTATTAGACATATCTTTATTAGTTAACTTCTAGGTACATGAAACCATTCAGTAACCATAAATAAGTACATATGAAATTAAAAAAACATGAACGAGAGCCAAATTCAAAACATTTAACAAAATTATACCCTATGATTTTTTATGCCACGTCATAATTTAAATTTTGAAATGTCATCTATTTTTTATTACAAACACTTTATAGGATCTTTCATATATTTCGGTGTAATTTGAACTCAACTTGGCATTTTCTATTAGGTTTAGCTTATAATCTTACTAGTATTTGATTTATTTATTTATTTATTTTGGTTTAAGGGTCAAAGTGTTCTGATCAACTTATATATATTATGATTAATTTCATCTCCAATCTATCGAATGGTAGACCGTCCACGTCAAAAATAAGACATTAATAAAAATAAAAATCTCACATAACCTACCTCAAAAAATTATCAAAAATCAAAATCACACTTAAATATATAGAATCTCTCTATTATTAGGGGTGTCAAACATGTTGAGTTGAGTCATTTCGTATCAGATTAATTTTGAGTTTGTGTCAAAAATTCAAAACATGAACCTGACCAGTTTAATAATCGTATTGAAATGTGTAAATAATAACCTGACATGACTATTAAACGGGTTATCTGAATTCGAAATATTTGATATGTTTAATAAACATATCGTTTTCGAGTTAATATACACAACTTGACTTGTTTAACACACATAACCTATTGTCACGCCTATACCATTAAATACACCATTTAATTATTCACCCAAAATTTTAAATAATTTATTCATCAATAACTTATCACATCGTATCAATGAAATTAACTAAAATATATTTAAGTTTTAACCCAAAAATTAAAATAAGAGTTATACTATTATAATGTCATAATAATGTTAAGAGTTATATTGTCAAAATTACATAGTAAAAATAATAACTAATAAATAATAATGTTAGAATCACATCAGTCAAATATAGTAGGCAAATTATACTGTCATAAACGAGTTAAACCGATCTACAATATGTTAGGTCGGGTTCGTGTCTGAATTATTTCAACCCGTTTAAAATAGACAGGTTAATCAAGTCAAAATAAGATTAACCTGATTTTAACATAAAACCGACATAATTTTTTTTATATTTAAAGGTGTTGACTTGTTTTCATCTATTAGTCTATATAATTTCGTATTTAATTTATTAATTTTGTATTCGATTTGTGTCGTATCACCATATCAATGGTACGGTGTAAAAAATTGACACCCCTATCTATTATTATTGGAAAATGCTATTTAGATTTATAAATTTGACATAATTTATTGACCAAATGACGTAATTTTATTAAAATTATTGAATAAATACCAAATTTTAATATTTGATAGAACCTATAATTTATCCAAAAATTATAATAAATTAAGTCAACAAAAATAAGTTTCATAAATTAAGTTTCAATATCGCTGATTATCGTTTAACGGCTGAGTTGGTTCTCCTATTCTCTACCTGTAAGCAAGCAACTTTTGTGGCATAGGGGCAATTTCCCACCCAATCTAATAGAGTAGGTCGTAGTAGTTCGTAGTGCAGAGTCAGTACACGTGGCAAAATAGGTTTTAATAAATCAATTTTCATCAAGTTTGCAGTTAATAATGCTTTTTTGAAAAAAAAAAAACAAAAGTACACGTGGCAAAAATGCTTTGGATTGCGTGAATTAGCTGAAGCGAGAGAAAGGACCAGAAAGAAAGAAAAGGGGGCATCCAGAACTTCCCTTCCCCAGCGAGCACAAAGTACAATACCGAAAAGAGGAGAGAGGCGGCCATTCCCATGAGTGAGATTAGTAAGCTCAACTCGTCCTGCTCCGAATTGGACTTGGATCGGCCCAATCTCGAAGATTATCTCCCCACTGGATCCATCCAACAACCCCATGGCAAGCTTCGCCTGTATGTTTCTCTCCCTCCTCCTCCCCCACCTCTATCTATATACATACCTATATATATCTGTGTGTTTGTGTTTGTGATCTTCTGAACAAAATTTGGCTCAGGCGCGATTTACTGGACATTTCGCCCACCCTAACGGAGGCGGCTGGTGCCATTGTTGATGTAAGTTGTTTGAACTTGCTATACATGTAATGGAGCTTCTGTTATTGATTTGCCCTTGCATTTTAGTTGTACTTGAACGCTAACTAATTGATACATTTTTAGAATATTTACCTGGAAAATCATTGTTGATTATTTCGAATTCTTTTATTCTCCTTCGCATACCAAAGAATAAGAAAACTACAGAGCTTATAAGGGGGATTACTGATTATGCAAACTGAAATCACAGATATCATTCTATCATCCTATTACTATGGAGAGTCTCACGGCATCAATTGTCTGGCAATGTCCGCTCTATTCTGTTCTTAAACTCTTGTTAATACGAAAACCTACTTCTTGCTTTAAGCATCCTAAAATGACAAGTTCTGGTCATTGTCTCTACTCCCCGGGGACTGCTTTTTGAGAATTTAGCAAAAGCTCAACCTTGGCAGAAGGGAGGGAGGCCAGGACTACATGGACTACAGTCAGTTTCTACCAAGGGCATGGGATTCTACTGGGAAATTGGTATTCCAAATGGTGAAGTAGTCTTTTGATAAGGGAAAATTGAGTCAGCCAATCAACAGGAAATCAAGTCCTACTGGCCAGTATGCTTATCAACATCACTTGTGAGGTTGTAAAATTTGTCATTACTCGTCAGTAGGTTAGACCATTTTTAAAAGGCCTGATAAATCTTATTCAATCCAGCTTTGTGCCAGGGTGGCATAGCTCGGATAACATACTCTGAGCTCAAGACATAGTTCATACCATCAAGCGAAAAACAGCAAGCCATGTTTATTGTTGAATAAGTTTGATTTAGACAAACCATATATGACCCCTTGGAATGGAATTGTTTAATGGAAGTCCTTCATTTAATCAGAGTTCCAGATCCTCATTGAACTAATCTTGAACATTCTTAACTCTATTCAAAGAAATATTACTTTTGATGATGTAAATGTTGAGTTATTCTCCATTTTGGATCTGACTAATTGCCTTGATGCATGAGCAGGACTCTTTCACGCGATGTTTCAAGTCAATTCCTCCAGAACCTTGGAACTGGAATGTGTATTTGTTTCCTCTGTGGTGTTTAGGAGTGGTAGTTAGATATGGGATTCTTTTCCCAGTAAGGTCAGTTTTCTGCTATTTCAACAATAATGAAGTTCTTTTCTCCAATCCAGCCATCTAGTGCTTGTTTCTTGTATTTAGTTCTGCTAGCATTTCCAAGGAAACATAAAAAGATGAAGAAAGAAATGCAAAGGATAATGGAAATTTATCCAACTTCATTGTTAAATTTAAATTTATGCTGATGTTATTTGGGTTCCATGGTACAAGTTACTATTGTTGGCTTCTTGCATTTGAGTCAATTTTTGCTGTTTTGCTTTTCATATTCAATCTTTGACCACTTTAAGGTGATTTTCTTTTGCCTACTATATTTGAAATCAGAGTTTTACCTTTCCATCCAAAGGAACCAAACATTATATTGTCAATTATGCATTCGACTAGTGCTAACTTCACTGACACATGTTAAGCACCATGAGGTAAGAATACTGCAATTGACCCAGTGCAAAAGCACGAATTCGAGAGGTGAGTCTTGAGAGTCACATGTGATTCACAACACCTCTATGACATATTGCCAAGTGTTGGGAAGTTATTCCAATCCTGTTACAAAGCATTGTAGTGATTATCATTGGGTTTCAAACAAGGGAAAATGGTGCTCCCGAATAGGTGTTTGAAACATGCTCCAAATCTCCATTAGCATATGCAGAAAAGAATGTTAATAAAGCTACCCCTCTCGAAGTTTAAGGCGACATGTTAGATATTTCTTCATTTTGATTATGAATAGATGATATTTGTCTTGAGCGAGACTTTATAGCACGAGTGTTGCATCTTGCTTGTCCAGCCCTGATTTTTTAAGTATAGTTTCTTAAACCAGCCTATGTTGCTCAAATGTTTATTCAAAATCTCTCTTCCTTTTATTGGCCCCTTTTGCTTTGCAATGCGAGCTTAGGACAAAGAGGTTACCATCATTACGAGTCAGTGTTGGTTGGGTTTCTTTTTTCGTCCTTAATTTTTTGTTGTTTCATTGGATTGTCTACCTCTTCTGGTTTATGCAACTACTCCACCATATGTCTCACTGTAGTGAAATTCACTCTGTTAATCCTGTGGTTTGTCATTCAAACATTTTGAATCTAAGTTTAGAGGATTCTGTTATCATGATAAATAATGATTGCATTTTATAGTTTATCATCATTTCCAGAGACTGAGGTCTGGGGAAATAGGATATGATGATCACATCTTAAGGAGTTAATGGATTGATGCTTTCCATGATGTTGGTTTCTAGCCATTTGATGCTTCTCGTTTCTAAAATGCAGGGTTCTGGTATTGACAATAGGATGGATAATATTCCTTTTGTGCTATATTCCTGTGCATTTGCTATTGAAGGGGCATGATAAGTTGAGGAAAAAGTTAGAGGTATGATTGCGTTATTGTTTCTTTCATCCCACTTTGCAAGTATATCCATGACATGCATGAACTAGCCAAGTATGGTTGTGTTACTGTTTCTTTCATCCCACTTTGTGTGTATATGCATGCGCTTGTATATCCACATTCATACATGTACATTTCAAATGGGCACCTATTGCTAATACAGCTACAGGCTAAAAAACTCCTCTTGAAGGACCAACAAATAACCGTGCATGCACACAGATTTACAGGAATATAAATATATTGTATGTATGAAAACATATTATACATATGATTGACTTCATTGGACTGGTTTCAATCTGTATCTCAATTGATTTTTTGGACTGCAATTGTTGTCTAAACTTTGCAGTAGAGTTGGAAATATGGTCCTAGGTGGAGCAAAACAGAAAAAGATGACTCTTTTACTAAACCGGGGATTGTCTTTTTTTGGTATGGAGTTGAGTTGATGTATTTGGGGGTTGAATTAAGCAGCATGTTCCATAGTCCTAGTTTACAGTGGTATATATGTTTTGCCTATTTTATTGTAGGTTGGTTATTAGTGGGACCCTGACAAATATTTCTGTCGGTTATTTTCTTTTCAGAGATGTCTGGTGGAGTTAATTTGCTGCTTCTTTGTTGCATCATGGACTGGAGTTGTTAAGTACCATGGACCAAGGCCAAGCATGCGGCCTAAGCAGGTATACTCACTCTTTGAGGGATCACATGATGGTTATTTAAAGAAAGTCTAAATCAGCCCTTGTGCATTGCAACGCATATCTGATGATTCTTTTGATGGTTTGAGCAGGTGTTTGTGTCCAATCATACATCAATGATTGATTTCATTGTTTTAGAACAGATGACGCCCTTTGCAGTTATTATGCAGAAGCATCCTGGATGGGTTGGTAAGTGTTTTCTGTTAGTCTGCATGACTATACTAGCTTGAACATTTAATTCTGTTGAATTTAATAGTATTAAAGCATGTCCAGAATTTTATAGGTGCACAACTTTGAGATAAAATGAGTGTCATGCTGTTGAACCCTCAATAATTCTATTTAATCACCTCTTTGAATGGATGAAGCTAAGAAGATTCTACATTAAACATCTTTTTGCCTATTCCAAGCAAAGAGATTTATGGGGTGCAGTTTAGGTGCCAATTTCATACTCAAACCACCCCACTCCTGGGGCGTTGAACACAATATGGATAAATAACACAACACAAACATACAAACAAGAGACATAGGAACATATATTTGCCTCCTCACAGGGTGTTACTGCTACTCTCAATGCTTTGTCCCTAATGGTTTTGACATTTCTTATCTGTTATGTTCTTTTACAATGCATGATTTTTTCATTAGTGGGGTTGTAGACAGGTTTCTGGGGAGATATTTTGCCAATGTTTCATCAAATAGCTTTTCTTGTTTTTCTTTTTTTGGATCAGTATCAAATACCATTTCTGTTGTATGTGTTTTCTTCATAATAGTTATTTAAAAGCTAGATGGCAATATCCAGAAGGGCATGACATGTGGCATTTTAAGGTCTTTTGTGTTTGGAGTCTTGGATTATCCTGCAGGGAAAAATATTTTTCTGTATCTAGGTTCTCCATTAAAGAATTTAACAATCCATGAAAAAAAATCTGTGGAGAAATGCTGGATGTAAAATCAAGTAAAACCATGGCTTAGTTTTTCCTGAGAAGAAACAGAAAAGAAAAAGGAGGCTAGTTTTTGGTGGTAATCATATTGACGGTCTAACCCTTTGAATCAAGTTAAACTTTGCTTACTACACTAAAAAATGATTGAGATTTTGTTAACGTTTATAAATCAATGATCTGTACTTGGATATTATTTTGTAATTTCTCATAATGAAGTGAGATCTACTATTACACAGTCTAAAATGTCTAAAGTGTAGGTTCACATTTTACAGGCGCTAGATGGTGGCACATGCATAATTTGATTGTGTGTGGATGGTGATCGGTACACCCTATGAGAAATGTGTGCATGAATTTTATTGAGTTTGCTTTTTATGTAGGATTATTGCAAAGCACTATTCTGGAAAGCGTAGGATGTATTTGGTTCAATCGTTCAGAAGCGAAGGATCGTGAAATTGTGACACGAAAGTATGTGTTAGCAAAAAGGTTGAAGGTTTTATTTCTTCATACATAATGGAATGTCATAATATGAACTTGTATTTTTTCAGGTTGAGGGAGCATGTTGAAGGGGCTGACAATAACCCTCTTCTAATATTTCCCGAGGGAACTTGTGTAAATAACCACTACACTGTCATGTTCAAGAAGGTAATTGGTAGTAAATGTATAACTATGTCCTTATCTTTGTTTTTTTGATTAACGTCAATGTTACTAATGATCTGTATGGTTAAAATATACTTTGGAATTAGATTTTGAAAATGGAAACCCCCCTCCCCCCAAAAAAAGAAAAAACACCTGCCCCATTTTTCCCTCGTGAGGTTAAAAATAAGTATTTGCTCAAGATGATTGTTATGGTTAACTTGTAGCTTTTTTCCCTTTATGCTTAGGGTGCATTTGAACTTAACTGCACAGTTTGCCCAATTGCAATCAAATACAACAAAATCTTTGTTGATGCCTTTTGGAATAGTAGAAAGTAAGTTTCTTCGTTCTGCTAATTTTTATGCCTGTAAATTACTACGGATGCACTGGAGATGCCATTTTGACATTTCTTGTACCATTGCTATCTGTAGCTCTCTAAATTGTGCTGTTAATGGTTTTATTTGCTTTATTGGAGAATCCAGTTCTGGCTGATTGGTATTAGTTGAGAGAATTGGTAGTATATTGTTATTATTTCTATTGTAATAAGTATACCTCTTTAAGGGTATACTAGTCTTTTGAATCTTCTTGGATAACTATGAACTTAAGTTGAGCATGACAGGTAGGGTATGATAATAACTTCTTTGCCTCCTCTCTTATTTTTCTTCCAATTCTCTATTTGCTAAACTTAACTGTATTGTTTTATTTATTGAGTTTCCTAAAACTTGTGATACTACATTTCAAGCCTAGAGGTTTGACAAAGCACTCTTTTGACGTCTAAAGTTCTTCAAAAATGCATTTCATTGTTATTAGTCTTGGTTATGCTTAGTAGGAGCACACAATGCAACTTACAGCCTGAGCGCGACTTCTTTGAACCTAGGGTCTTTTGCGTTCAACGTCGGAAATATTTTTATGACGTTATAATTGAGCGATCTGTTATGTATTTTGACTTTTTTGAGTTATGCGAGAGAGATGATTTTGGAAGTAGATTTTTAATTGTGGGTTAGCTTCTAGGTGAATAGAGCTTTATCTGCCACTTGCATCAGATTTTCGGCTGTGCTGATAGCCTACTGTGAAACCAATTGATAGCTTGTAGGTTGTGAATTTGTATGCAGGCAATCCTTCACAATGCACCTGTTGCAGCTTATGACGTCATGGGCTGTTGTTTGTGATGTGTGGTACCTGGAGCCCCAAAATCTGAAGCCTGGAGAGACACCTATTGAATTTGCAGAGAGGTAAATATTGTTCCTGAGTTTCAACTAGTAAATGATGTTACGTGACATGTATTTGTCTTCAGAGACGATCGTACTTATCTTTGAACTATCTTCAAAATAAGGATTGGTTTTCCCCTTGGTGCTCCTTTTCAGGGTCAGGGACATTATTTCCGTTCGAGCCGGTCTTAAAAAGGTTCCTTGGGATGGATATTTGAAATACTCTCGCCCTAGCCCCAAACATAGAGAGCAGAAGTATGCTAAACATTGTCTAATTTATCTCGTACTCCATTTGTCGTGGTAAAGTTTTGGTATATGCAGATAATGTCGATGGACCCCCGCGGGGATGGGCCCCCCACAGGCGTGCTTTTTGTGTATGTGTGTGTATGACCTTGCTTAGAAAGAAAAGAACACATTTGAGGCCAGCATGCGACTTCTGGGCGTGAAACTTCACTATTTTTATGGGGAAAACATTAGGAAAATGCTGCTCTGTGGAGCTGTTAATATGGCTTATCTTGATAGTGCATGGATCCATCTAATTAATCACCATTAGTGAGTTGAGCCTGACCATCTCCGTGCCATCTCTAGCTTTATCTATCTTGAACCTGGATTAAATCAAAGTCCTTGTGTGGCCTAGGCAAGCATGATGAAGTCAGTTATCAGAACCTTGCTGTTTTCCTCCTATAGAGACCAATGGGCCTTTGGTCCAGTGGTATTCTTTGTCTTGTGAAGGGCTTTGTCTTCTTAAGGTCAAGGGTTCAAGTCCCCTCCCCCAAAAAAAAAAAAAAAAAATATGAAGAAAAAAATATAGAAGTTCCTCCTCTAAAGAGAGTTTATGATGCTTGAGTTTTATTGGTCTTCTTTTTTCTACCGATTATACATGCATAATTGAAAGACTCACTTTTGTACTTCATCATGTTGATAGGACTCCATATTCTCGTTTTGAGTTACATATTTATAGTAGGAAAACTAGAGTATGGGGAAGATGCCTCTATTGCATCATCATAGATAGATCCCCTGTTTCAATTTTAGACTACATAGCAGTGGAAGGTGCACTGTGTTAGTACTTCTCTGAGTTCTCTCCATATGTCAAGGATGTTGTTATTTTCTTGTCACATTATGAAGTTGAGGTTCTGATACCACTCTTACTTATCATCTATTATGAAGTCTCCTTTTTAATTTTTTTTTGGCCTCCGCTTGCAAATTGTGAAGGCTGGCCTAAAAAAATGCACTAGGAAGTTTTTGCTTTGAGTAGTGGATTGCTAGCTGCTTTATGGAATTAACAATGATAAAGATCAAGACGTGTCTTTATTCTTTGATCAATACATATTTGCAGGCAGCAAAGCTTTGCAGAGACAGTGCTGCGACACCTGGAAGAGAAATAGGTTACAGATCTGAACTCTTTTTTTTTTTTTTTAATTTTTGGTATAGGTAGCTGTTGTAGGGCTATTGAAATAAAATTTTACTTGTTTGGACCTGATTTCCTATTTAATTACGTTCAGATATCTTTTTCAAATATGAGTTCAACAGACTTTAAAGGGAACTTTGTAATACTCAGTATCTTTATTTAGGAGCAGCGAGCTGTGTTTATTGAATTTTTTACGATGAATGGATGTCCTTGTTAACTATGTTTCTGATGTGCTGTCAACCAATCCAGCCCCATCAGTTTGTGGATCCTGACGACTTGATCTTATGGAACTACACCGTCTTTAGCCACTGCTTTGACAACTTGGTCCCCCAATTTGATGATTTACGGGGCAGGCTCTTCATTGGAGCAGCCCATGGTTTATTTGCTTGGAAACATGTGTAGGCAAGGTTTGGATCAGTGAGAAACATTTTACTTCGAGTAAAAATTAAACTTAAAAACTAGACTTGATAATTACAATTATTGATTTTACGGTGAGTTTCAGTATTTATTGAAATTCATTACCTATTCGATGGTTGAAATTATCAAGTTTAATTTTTAAATCTATTTAAAATTATTTTTTTACTTTTTCAAGGGGCATTTTTTTCTTCCTTTATTTTGTCTTTCTTTTTTCTTGGGATTTTATTTTTTTTGGGAAGGGTTTTGGTTTGGGGGGGGGGGGGGGGGGGTGGTGTTGGGTTTGTCTGCTGCTGTTTTGGTTGCACTGATATTCAATGTTGACAGTACTTTGGTCCTATGGCATATGGGTAGCAGAAATGGTTGGGTGACCAAGTATATGGCCTAAATGATGTTTCAAACCCAATCAACCAATGTGGGTTATAACCGGTCCTCTTTTTTGTTTTTTTGCCTCTTTATTTGTTGGGGTGAGATGCCGTTAACCCATTTGGGTTCCCAAATTTGATCGGAGTAGCAGTGTTATATGGGTAGATGCATGGATGAATGCAGTCTGTCTATATTGGTCGCCGTGTGTGGAACTCTTGAGAATCCTCTCTTGCGAGTTACAAAATTCTGATTTTTGAAGTCAAATCTCGACTGGTCAGAAAGTCATGTGAAAGAATGGAAAAAGAGGGGAAAAATATACTTCCGTGTATGCGGGGAAATTTTATATCATAATTTGGAAAGAATGAGAGTTGCAAGAATTCTTTTACTTACCTAAATTCTGCTTTCCCACTTTGAACAAAATAATATGTTCAAGTGGTTTCTCATAAAACTCTACAAATTTAAACCTATGGGCTATACTTAGAATTTGTATAATACCCAACATGAATTTTGAAAATGAACATAATTGACATTCTTAAAATTGTAAGAAAAGAATCCATTAATTCGTAATTGAGAGAGCTTTTCTCCCTTGGTTTTAATTAAAAAAAAATTGTTACTTTTCCTGGAAAGAAAATTTCAGTCGTAATTATTAGTGTTTTCATGTTCTATCACTACCCATAATCCGCGGTAAACCCAAAAGACTCAGACCTCTCCCTTTGTTCAAAGACTCGCATTAAAAAATCAATTCAAAGTCTCCAGCCAACATAGTCAAAGTCTTCCCATTAAACAAAACAGAACATTCCACTTCTTACACCATTCAACAATATATTTTCACACCCACTCAGTCCGTCCACTCCGGCCATACATTTACTTCCAAGCTCTTCCTTTCCACCATACCCCACCACCTTTTCCGAAACCCTTTCTCTCTCGCAGCACACCCATTTTTCAATACCACACCACACCTCTCTAACTACACTACAGAGCTGAGAGAGAGAGATAATGAAAGAAATGGGTTTTGCCGGAAGGAATAATATTCTCATTTTATGCTTCGTCTTGGTGCTCGCCGTAATATCATCAACAGCTCAAACTTTCACGTGCAGCTCCGGCGGGGCATGCAAATCCATGGTCGGTTACGTGTCGCCCAATACCACCACACTCGACGGCATCAAGACCTTCTTCGGAGTGAAGAACCTCCGGTCTATCCTCGGCGCCAACAACCTCCCACTCTCAACCCTACCCAACACGAAAGTCTTCGCCAGTCAGACAATCAAAATCCCCTTCAATTGTCTCTGCACCAACGGCACCGGAATCTCCAACGGATGGCCAATTTACACAGTGATCCCCGATGACGGACTCTTCCACATCGCCTCCGAGGTGTTCGCCGGATTGGTGACTGTCAAACAAATTCAGGCCGTTAATAAGATCGAAAATGCTAATGTGATTACAGTCGGCCAGGAGCTGCAGATCCCACTGCCCTGTAGCTGTGATGAAGTGGATGGTGAGAAGGTGGTTCACTACGGACTCGTGGTGGCGGCTGGGAGCACGGTTGAGGGGATTGCACAGCAATATAATACTACCCAGGACACGCTGTTGAGGCTCAATAAGCTGGCTAGTCCCAATGATCTCATTGCCGGTGTTGCCCTTGATGTCCCTCTTAAAGGTACTTACCACTTTTTTTCAGTGTTTAATTTATGAAATCTTGCTAATGTGTGCCTTTCAATTTCCGAGTTTCTATTGCTTACTTTGCTTTTATTTTATATACTTTCTTGAGGGATTCTGTTATTTTAGTGTTTTTTTTCTTCTTTCTTTTAATAAGAATGTCTTTTTGTTATTGGCTTCTTGTCAATTTTAGTAAAGGTTTTGGAACGGTGAATACATCATGATGAAAATTCCTAAGTTGGTCAGTTACTTGCCTTACAAAGTTGGTGATTGAGGTTTGGATAGCTCTTTTCAGGCGGGGCATTTTGGAAATTGTCCAATTTACCTTAGGATGGGACTGTAATTAGTTGGGTGTTTGAAGAGGCCAAGTAGATACATATTGGTATCGATGAAAGAGGGGGGGGGGGGGACTATGAGGGAGGAGGGAGTGAATTGAATACAGCTACCCTTGTCAATAGGTTAAGCATATATGGGGTCCACATTTGGTTTGTTGTTGATTTAAGCTGTTGTTTGGACTCTGATACATGAGAAGATTCTCACCTATCGATATGGGCTTGATATGGTGTCAACGAGAATTTGGGATTCTTAAATCGGTGAGGGTAAGTTTGGTATTGTTTTCATTTGTATCACTGTCATTTATGCTTTTGAAAATACTAAACACTTGGAGGCATTTTGAAGTGAAATGTATCCTTTCTGATTGTGCGTGTGGATCATAGAAACACTTCAAATTCAAAGATAGAAAAGGCCCGAGAGAGGTGGAAATAGAGTAAGAAAGCATTTTGTAGTGGATTATAATATCTTCGCCAATAGAGGACAAATAGATTAAAGTTGAATTAGTCACACCTTGGATATAATGTTGTGATGAAAACACAATGTAACATCAATTGACAACTAGTCTGTCTGCTTAGGCGTTTCCAAACATATGCTATTTACTTGTTTTTTTAAAAGGGTTGTCTTTCAATTTTCTATCTTTTGTCAAAGATTGATTCAAAAATCATAAGGACCTATTTGGTTTGCATCTTTAAAAACAATATATTCGAAAATAATTTTTGAAAAAAGTGTTTTTTGATATTTTTGTATTACAAAATTTGTTTGGTTATATAGTTTTAAAAATAATTTTAAAGTACAGAAAATAGTAAAATCTGTTTGGACAGTGATCCACAAAACTAATTTTTAACTTGTCACTTCTAACCATAGTTATCAAATCGCGTATCAGAAGGTGTATCGTTTTTTAAAAATAGTGTATCGTAAGATACGGTGGATTTTTAAATAAATAATAAAAAAATATATATACCTTTGAAAAAAAGTATACACTCATAAAAATATAACATTTCATTAATACTCCACCACCTATTCAAGTCATCAACATAGTTCACTAATATTATAATGCAAAGTTTAAAACCATAGTTCACTAATTCAAACCAAAAACCAAAGAGACTAATAATCCAAATTTCTAACATCCATTTTGAACTCAATCCATAAAATTAATCAAGATTCAAAAATTTTTATACAAAAAAAAAAATTAGTGTCTTATTTAGACAAAATGATGTCGTTTCAGGAAAAAAGAAAAAAGTTTTGCGCGTATCGGTCGTATCGTACCGATACGTATCATATCGTAAAAACGTATCATGAATCGGACGATATGACGCAAAAACGATACATAACTACGATCCGTATCATTTTACCTCCGTATCATAACATATCGCGTATCGTACGATACTAACAACTATGTTTCTAACCAAAGCAATAAAGCGTATTGCTAATTTTGCTGCTATTTTCGTTTTGTGATCAACGTTAAAAAAAAAAAAACCTCTTCCAAAACGACATTGTTTTGGAAACCCTAAACCAATTTTTACCTTTACTCTTTGTTTCCATTCACGTCTGGAACATTTATGCTCTCTTTCTCTCTCTTTGACACAAACACATGCACATTTTAACACCCCGAATTTCTTTTTTTTCTTCTAAAAAAAAATAAATCCCCAGGCGTGATTAAGGAATGAAATTACATCGAACTTACGATAACCTTCCTTGTATTATTATATTATGCGTACAAGTACATAATCCTCACATGATCATTTTAAATATTCTTGATACAACATAAAGAGAAATAATAATAGCAGACTCTATTTATCATCTTTTCAGCCTATCATCCAGTTCGATTTCATATATTTGAAAAATGTTAGATAGGAATGAGCTCACCAACTCAATAGGATAACGTTTATCAATGACTACCAAGGTTTTAAAATAATGCATAATATAATTAAACCACAGATAAGTGCAGGAATAGGGCAAAATAATGAATCAAATAAATAAATAAATTTCAGCACATATCGATCATATCAATTCGTCAATTTTCTGGTCTATGCATGAACAGCTTCCGGAGAAAATTTTGGGGTCTTGCACCCTAGGGAATCCAATGCCCTTCTTATTTTTCTGGAAACACCAATACCGAAAATTATGTGGTGCCACACAGGCTACCACGACAACCGATATTATTAACTGATGAACTCAAAGACTAATAGGAATCCTGTGAATCCTCGCAAGGATCATGCATCTACTAACCTTCTGCCCTCGATTATGTGCATTCATAGTAATTTCATCAAAATTACAAAATAAAGTCATATAGTAGTCAGACCCCACAGCAAATCAAACATTAAATATTAATAATGAAATAAACATTTATTATGCAACATGGTTTAATGAGATAATTAGGGTCTCGATAAAAATATAATATGTGCATGATAACGATTTATTTAAAAAACCCTAGTTTGACCCCATGATTATAACGATATAATTTTATATTATATAATTAAAAATAGATTTGATATGAAATCCCCAAATATGCATAAAATACATCAATGATAGTAAAAGATAAAAGAAACCCTACGTCTTTCTGGACTTCTATTCAATACCGTATTCTGTGACAAAATAACCAAAATAATATATTAGAATAACAATAGATAATAAGGGCTTAGTTAACCTAAAATAATTTTTTTGAAATAACTAACGAAAGATAATGATACTTAAATTTGATCGAAAAATATTTAATGAAGATTAACTTTAAGTGACTCGAACATATAAAATTTACTAAATAATAACTAAAAAATTTTACCCAAAATTTTGATCACAACTGCAAACTCTTAGGTCAACAAAATTTTTTACCCATTTTCCCTCTTTCCTCTCTTTCTCCCTTCCTTTCTTCCTCCCTTTCTCTCTTTTTCCTTGTGTCGTTCAATGTACTAGGCTTGGGGACCAAGCATTCTCATGGACAGCCGTCCATTCCCTGACCATGTCCTCTTTTTTTTTCTCTTTTTGCATGTTTCTCAAAACTAGCAAAGTATATTGCAAAAATCTAGCATAGTATCTTTCACATAAATATCTCTTTCTCTCTCTATATATATATAGATATACATATAGTCAATATTTGACCTAAATTATAGTCATTTGATTCGTTTTTATGCGAAGAGTCCATATTTGGGGACTATTTGTTCATAAAAAAATTTTATTATTTATTTATACATACATACATACATATATAAAATAATTCTTAATTATATAGAATCAAAATTAATGACCTAATTAACGTGTTAATAATTTATATATATATGGGTCATTACAGTCTATCCCCCTTAAAAAGAATCTCGTCCTCGAACTTCGATACTAACCTTGAGAATTAAAAAGATAGGGATATCTTGTACGCATATCTGCTTTTAGTTCCCACGTGGCTTCTTCAATTCCATGATGTTGTCATAACACATTTATAAATGGTATGACCTTGTTACGTAATACCTGCTCCTTGGTGTCGAGAATCTACACAGGTTGCTCTTCGTACGTTCCATTTTCTTGAATTCGGACATCCTTCCAATCGATGACGTGAGACACATCTGGTTCACATTTCCTTAACATGAATACATGAAACACATCATGTATTCCTGATAATTGAGCTAGCAAGGCAAGCCGATAAGCTATATTTCCAATGCGTTGTGTTATCTCGAAGAGTCCAATGTATTTGGGAGCCAATTTACCCTTTTTTTCAAATCGAGATATTCCTTTCCTAGGGGATACCTTCAAGAATACGTAATCACCTTCTTGAAATTCCAGGGACCTTCTCCTTTGATCTGCATAATTCTTTTGTCGACTTTGAGCCGTGCATAGCTGATCCCGAACTACTTGGATCTTCGCAGTGGTTTCTTGGACAATTTCTGGACCAAATAAAATGCTTTCACCAGTTTTGGCCCAATATAGAGGTGATCTACAAGATCGTCCGTATAGAGCCTCATACGGTGCCATGCCAATAATGCTTTGGTAGCTGTTGTTGTAAACAAATTCCACTAGTGGAAAATGTTCATTCCAACTGCTCTTGAAATCTAGAGCGTAAGCTCATAACATATCTTCCAATATTTGGATCACCCTTTCAGATTGATCATCTGTTCGAGGATGGTAAGCAGTACTAAAATGTAACTCGGTTTCCATGGCTTTTTGCAAACTCTGTCAAAATTGAGCCATAAAGTGAGTATCTTGATCTGACACGATTGATAATGGTACCCCATGTAATCTCATAATCTCCCGTCTATAAAGTTGACTCAACATAGCTAGAGTGTCAGTATTTTTCATGGCTAAGAAATGGGCCGATTTGGTGAGTCGATCTACTATAACCTATATTGCATTGTATCCATTTGTAGTTCTAGGCAAGCCAATCACGAAATCCATAGTGATATGATCCCACTTCCATTTTGGAATAGGTAAGGATTGTAACAATCCACTAGGTTTCTGATGCTTTACTTTTACTTGCTGGCATATGGCACATCGAGCTGTAAATTTGGCCACGTCCTTCTTCATTTCTTTCCACCAATATTGGCGCTGCATATCTTGATACATTTTCGTGCTGCTAGGATGTATGGAAAACTTAGAGCAATGACATTCCCTAAGTATTTCTTCCTTTAACTGAACATTATCGGGTACACACAGCCTTTCTTGATATAGTAATTCCCCCTTTTGTAACCGCCAATTTTCAAGAGCATTCCTACCTTTCAGTTGGGTGCAGATGGATTCTAGGTAGGAATCCGAACGTTGTAATTCAACAACTTTTTGTCAGAGGACAGGTTGGGCAGCGAGATTAAACAAACATGATTGACCTTCTTCTGTACCTATCCAGATGTCAAAGTCTTCTAGTGCCTTCCTCAATCGCCATTTGTCCTTCATCACGTTTATTACTGCACTTCGAGATTTTCTGCTCAATGCATCAACTACCATGTTAGCTTTCCCCGGATGATATTGAAGTGTGAAGTCGTACTCCTCGAGATACTCTATCCAGCGTTATCGAAGATTCA